TAGTTTGGCCCCTTTGCTGTATTTTGTCTGGGTTTGGCAGGGGACAAAAAGGCCTGTGCTGATAGGCCTGCAAACGAGCACAAACCTCTGTTCTCAAGCATCACATACGGTTGGCTTATTAAAACAACTAAGGGAAAGTGGAAAAGTATCTGTTCTGCCTGACTGAGAGATGCAAATTTCATGTATATATATATATATATATAAATATTTTTTCTACTTCAGAGGTAATTTTAAGGGGCCCCTTCTATGGCTGTGACAGTGCTAAGGTGTTGTGAAGTATTTGCATGGCCACAGATCTCTAGAAAGGCAGGTGCTTGTGGTCATCAGCGTGTAAAAGCAGCGGAACACAAACTGGAAGTCTTGTTGTACTTAACAAATGTATAAAATCTACTATTTTCCAATGGCTGTGCTGTTCTTTATCAGTGAGACAAGCCCAAGACTTCTCATAACCATCCCGTCCCATTCTGTTTCATGGGTGAGACTGAATATTCCCGGTGCTGTTCGTGCATCGGGTGGCTGGAGAGAGCTCCAGGTTGTTGTTTATGTGCCTGTTTATACCTGGCACAGCCGGCTGGGTCGAGTACGGGAAAGGCGTGTGAAGTCAGCGTGGTCCTGCCCGAACACCAGCCTGGGGAAACCTGGTCGTTACGGCTTTGTTTTCTTTCCACTCATCTCCAAGGGAGTCCATTTTTCCCACCGAAATAGCTCCTCTGCTTTCCGTCAACGGCACGGGGTATCAGAAGTTCTGGTGCTAGGTCCCTGAAGGGTGGGAGCTGCGGTGGGCGAGGCAGCAGTGGAAAGGGGGGGTTTCCTTGCAAAATTTCCCCCCTCCTCTTCATCTTGTCTCAAGGGAGTCGTCGTAATCAAGCACCAGCAGCGTTTCCGGGCTCCCCGATGAGTCAGCTGGGGCAGTGTGGGGAGGAAGGGGTCGGGTCTGCGTGTTCTGCTTGCCGTTGGCGGAGCGGGGGGAACTGGGCTGAGCCTCACCCCTGCTCTGCACTGAGCTCCTCTGAAACGCAGCCTCCGAGCAGGACAGGAACAATGACAATTTCTAGTGTGAATTTCTTGGAGTAGTCGTCAAAACCTCGTATATGATGTTGTTTGAAAATGTGTTTGACTGATCGCGAAGAGGGAGAGGTTTGATCTCTTCCTCCTCAAAAATAGCTGATCAAACTGGCCTTTGTGTTTGTGAGATTGTTTGGGTTTTTTTTTTTCCCTTGAGATCCAACAGAAACCTGTTTGATCAGGTGTACTTTACAATTTTCAGTCAAGGTTTATCTTCAGCAGTGCAATGGACATTTCTTGTTGTGCTTCTCTTCTACAGAAGCTTCATCTTAGCTCTAGGATTGGGCTGAAGGTTTTGTGATGTAGAGCTGAAAAAACCCTCCACCAGATTTTGAACCTGCCTTAAGTACTGGGAAGGCTCGAGGAGAAAGTTCTGACTTACGTTCTGTTGTATTTTTCATCTTTGCTTTCAAAGTTAGTCTCTGGGACTCATCTGCAAAACCAAATCGGGGAACAGGTCGTGCTCGGCAGTGCCCTGCTCTCAGGAACAGAGTGTTGGAGGAGGAGAAGCTGAGGCTGCTCCTCCTGGGCACCTCACTCCTCTGGGGAAGTGAGAAGGCAGCGGTGCCTTTTGAGGTAAAGTGGTTTCACCCTTTTCTCTGCATCCCTAAAATGGGGTGGGAGGAAGAAGCCTGAGTTGTTCTACACCTGCGGACAAGGAAATGGGAAAGACTTTCCTCAATGAGAGGAAGTTTTAGGCACTGCTTTAAATCATTAGCACCACCTGAAAACCCGGTGCACGTAGAGAAGAAAAACAGAAAACCCCTGAGAACTGGTGATGCTATTTCTTTTCCTGATAATTCTTTGTAGATGACCTGCTGCATGAGCCCCAGCACAGCAGGATCTCGCAGGGCATGTACTAAATGTCTCTGAGGGTTAGTTTGATCCTGGTTTCACCACTTGGTGCATACGATCCCAGTAATTCTGAGGTACAGGCATCGCCCAGGAATGCGACAGCGAGGGGTGGGAGCTGTCTGAAACAAAGGATGTTCCTGCAGTTGGAGGTAATTGAAAGGGCAGGCAGGAGACCAGGCTGGAGGGGGAAGAGCTAAACTAGGTAAAGGAATTAGTCCTAGCTCCAGCATGGGGAGTGTTTGATTTAATTAGAAGGTACAGTGCTGGGGAAGTAATGAACTGTTCCAGAGCTGGATGATGAAATCCTGCCGTGGCCTGTTGAAAACAAGCAGACTGGTTTCCCTCAAGTTTCCAGAATGTGAATATGGATGGTGCTTCATTTTATTTGTGCTGCAGGATTAGAGAGGGTAGATGAGCTTTTCTAACTCTTGAGAGGTTTTTTTTATGCCATTGATGAGGTTTGGCAGGGCATGGCTGAGTCTTTCAGCGTTATTTCCAGGCCTGTACTGTGGATAAAAGTCTTCAGTCTCCAGGGTGTCGTCACTGGTGTGCATTGGCCTCAATCAGCAAAACATCCTTCTCGGAGAGAGATTAATTTAGAGACTGCAGAAATCTGTTTCCTCCAGGACAAGGAGGGACCGTGTTTTGCTGAGACCAGGAACATCTGTGCCTGCCTTAGTGGTTAATGCTGTTGAGAGAGTGGGAAAGATAAGTTTCTCTCTCTCGAAAAAAAAAAAAAGCCCCAAATCAACAACGAATCCCCCTGAAGGTGACAAAGGAACAACTGGACGTGGCACTCGGTGTGGCTGGGTGACAGGGTGGGGATCGGGCACAGGTTGGACTCGATGCCCTTGGAGGGCTTTTCCAACCGAAATGCTTCTGTGATTCTGGTAAGTTGATTCCTGCAAATGCAGCATTGGGTGGGATGTAGGTGGCCTTGGGTAGGCAGTTTGAGCTTGGCCTTCTGCTGAAACGCTGTCTGATACGTGTTGATAGACTCCAACATTTCAGCTTGGCTAAAGAGGTCACTTACTAAGTAGAGGAGCAATCAGTGAAGTTTGTCTTCTCTGTGTTCAAGTTTGAATGGGTAGCTAGTTTGGTTGGTAGTTTCAGATGCAGCATTTTTTTTCCCCTTCTGGCTCTTTGCACACTGTAGTCACGACTTCTATAGTTGCTGTATTAATTGTTCTATTACAAAATGGTCCATGTTTACTTTCCTGGGCAGATGCTTAAGGAAAACCAGCTCGTAACTTCCTTCCCTTGTGTTTCAGGCGGCAGCAGCAGGCCTGAGCTATGTCGGGGCGTACGTCATCAACACCTACAAGAGCTACGACAACTTTCTGCAGGACAAGTACGCCGTGCTGCCCGCCGTGATCATCATCTGTGTGGCTGTGGTGATGTTCGTCATCGGGCTCATCGGCTGCTGTGCCACGTTCCGGGAGTCTCGAGTTGGTCTGGGGCTGGTGAGTGTTGCGTGTTCTCGTGTGTCTTCTTCTTCACCCCGCTGCACGGTGTGGGAGGTGGCAGGCTGGAGCTTGGGATGCACGAAACAGAAAGTGAAACACGATTGGGACATGTACCACTGAAGCTCTGCTCGTTGGCGTGAGTTGTGTACCGCCGCGACGCGCTGACCGACGGTGTGTGAGGCACAGGCTCAGTTACCAGTGACACCAACACCCCTGCCATAGACAGTCTCATGGCTCTGCCTCTGATCAAGATGACTCTTCATCAGAGCACTCAGTTTTGAAAAGGTTTGGGTTGGGAGGGGATGTGGCAGCCACGGCTTCTTCTATTCCATTCTTCTATTCTGTAAACTACTTTGGTTGTAGAGGCAACAAGAGATAACAGTAACTGTTGTAATCAGGATGGCCGAAGGAATAAAAGCCAGGCACAGTATGATGATGATCCAAAAGTCTGCTTTATTGCTCAGTTCAGTCTTACTTATACACACTCTGCAAACAGAACCTTACATACCTTTCTATTAATAACTCGCTATCTGTGGTCTGTTATTAACCCTTACACACGATTGGATATCCACACCTTATTTACATTCTTCTCTCACTGGTCAGTTTTGGCACCTTCTCAGATCTTTCTCTGCTCCTGTGAATTCCTCAGGGAAACGGCTTCCAAGTGTCTAAGTCAAAAATCCTCCACCTCTATATCCTTCATCAGGGGGTCTGCGGACCCTCTGCCTGCCCCAACAAATAACTTACTGCTATAAACGAATGTGAAGTGTAATGTAAAGTTGAATTCAAATGCTGTGGAATTCTTCCTTACAGTCTCTCTCTTGTATTTTCAGTTCTTGGCCATTATCCTGCTTATCTTTATCGCAGAGGTATCCGCTTTTGTCCTGGGATTTGTTTACAGGGAAAAGGTAAGCGAAGAGTTAGCATCCCTGTCCCAACCTAAAAGTAAAGAAAAAAATCTTGCATTGTTAGATCATTTTTTATGTATCCAGTTTTCATGTACTTCATCCTCCATCCTGCAACCTGCAGAGCAAGTGGAAAATGGGGGTGCTAAATACATAAAGTACCTGGCAGGCATCACATCGATCTCTCAGTTGGATTAAACAGTCGTTGATGCTCCCAAAAGGAGGGCTGTTCCAGCAGGGGAGGCATAATATGATTCTGGTTAAGTGTTACCTGAATTTTATCTAACATATACCTTAATATTTGTTTTGTTATTGATTCATTGGGTTTTTTTTTTATTTATTTCCCCCTCTGAATTAGTTGGGACACAGATCTCTTTTGCATTTCCCACCAGATAAAACTCTTACATCTCACGTTAAAACCATCTGCATCTTTTTTTTCTTCCTAAAATAGGTAAAAACTGACGTTCAAGGCACAATGCGCTCGGTCTTTGAGCAGTACGATGGCAAAAACCCAGAGTCTACAGTTGTGGATTACTTGCAGGAACAGGTAAGAAAGTATTTAAATCATCCTGGGAGTTACTTGGAAAAGAACAGCTGGGTTCTAAAGAAGGAATTTTGGCTGGAAAAGGAGGGGAGGAGGTGTCTGTGTTTAGCGTCGGGTTCTCCAAGGCAGCTGAGGGTGCTCCCCGCTTTGCAGAGGTGGTGTTTTCAGGCTCCTGGTGTGAAGCTTCATGCAGTGAATGATCGTTGCATTTGGATCAGACCAAATAAGCAGTACAAATGAGTAACTGCTGCTGGGAACACTGCCCCATAAAACAAAAAAGGTGATGGGAAGACTCCGTCACGCGACTTGTCGCTTTCATTTTGGAGCTTTCAGAAAGAGTAAACCAAGAAGAGTGTAATAATGTGTGAAAGGAGGTTGATTTATTGTATTTGTGGTTGTTTTCCTGAAGCGCTGCTGCTTGTAAATCTGCTGCATACGAAGGGCACCTCTGGCCCACTATGCCTAAGAGAGGTTTAACTCAACGTGAACCTTCATATATATATATGTAATATATATGAATAAATGTAATATATATATTCATACATCCCTGTAACTGCCCTGTGTTTGGCAGCTTCACTGCTGTGGGGTGAAGAACTACAGTGACTGGACGACCACACAGTGGTTTAATTCCACTGGCAACAACAGCGTCCCTCTGAGCTGCTGCCAGCAGGGTGTGAAGAACTGCACTGGGCATCTGGATCGGCCACAGGAGCTCAACACCCGGGTGAGGATGAGGGCCTCGGGGTCACTGTTGGGCCGTGATGACTCTCACCGTGGAGGAAAGCACGTCAGGCTTTAAGGATATTCCCATAGCTATCCGGGCCAGGGGAAAAGACTCGTGTAGGATCGACCGTGCTGAATGCGGAGGATGAAGATGCTCCAAGGGCTGGAGCACTTCTGTGGTGGAGGCAGGCTGGGAGAGCTGGGGGTGTTCGGCCTGAAGAAGAGAAGGCTCCAGGGAGGCCTTGGAGCCCCTTCCCATGCCTGTAAAGAAGATGAGATCAAACATTTTAGCAGGAAAGGACAAAGGGTGATGGTTTTAAACTAAAAGAGGATCAATTTAGATTAGATATAAGGATGACGTTTTTTACAATGAGTGTGCTGAAACACTGGCACAGGTTGCCCGGAGAAGCTGTGGCTGCCCCATCCCTGGAAGTGTCCAAGGCCAGGTTGGACGGGGCTTGGAGCAACCTGGGCTAGTGGAAGGTGTCCCTGCACATGGCAGGGGGTTGGAACAGGATGATCTTTAAGGTCCCTTCCAACCCAAACCATTCTGGGATTCCATGAATTCCATGCCAGGTTTTTCAGTCTGGGACAAAGCCCCTAGGTTGACTTTTATAGATACCATTGCTGGTGTTCCTGTCTATGAGTTTTGGGCACTTCCTTAAGTGACCCGAGCTGGAGGAGATCGGGAAGCAGCAAATGTCAGTGGATTGTGATTTGTCGGTGCTTCTCCTCAAGCCATCAGGTCTGGAAGACAAGAACAGAGTCCCCCGGGTCTGTAGTGGTTGGTTAGACAGGCCCTGAGGAAAAGAAAGAAAAAAAGTCCAGCTGAATTAACATCATTTAATATGTTTTCACCTCTCTTTCCTGGCAGGGCTGTGCAGAGGAGCTGGAGTCTGGGCTGCAGAGTGTTATCAGCTATGCCATGCTCGTGATCCTGGGGTTTGCCATTGTAAAGGTAAGTGTTTCTGTCTCTTCCCTCATGGAAAATAGTACTGCCTGCCCTTTGATCTCGGGGCTTTTTCTTCTGCCATGTCCCATCAGCCTTTTTTCTGGCCCTGAAGTAAGACTCAATCCTCTGTTCCTCACCTGTTTTTCCAGTTGTCTCCATTTCATCTGCCTAACAATGAGGGTAGGGATCCAAAAATATAGTAGGAGATTCAGGATGGCGAATGGAGAATCCATAGAACCATATATCGTAGTGCCATAGAATGGTTTGGGTTGGAAGGGACTTTGAAGATCTTCTAGTTCCAATACTTTCCACTTGGACCAGGTTGCTCCAAGCCCCATCCAACCCGGTCTTCAACGCTTCCAGGGACAGGACAGCACAACACAACCTGTGCCAGGGCCTCACCGCCCGCACGGCCAGGAATTCCTTCCCAGTATCCCATCTAACCCTGCCCTCTGGCACTGGGAAGCCATTCCTTTTCTTGCTGTCACTCCACGCCCTTGCCCAAAGGCATGCCTAAATATTTTGCAGAACTCATTTGAAGTCCAGAATAGTCCCAAGGCTTTCACTGAACGATAACTAGGAATTAATGTGGACGTATAAATTAACGGGAAAAACCAGGGAGAAAAATGTTCAGCTGCAACTATTACTGGAAATTGATATGCAAAAATGCCACTTAAGTGGTTTTTTTTCAGTATGATGGAGTCCTCTAATATAGGGGTGTTGAGTCTGGTGACTGAAACAACAAACACAGCACTAAATCTCTTGTGCTCTCTCTCTTTTCCAGTTCTTTGGCATGCTGAGTGTCTGTGTGCTGACTTGCAAGAAAGAAGAAAGTGGATACCAGCCTCTTTACTCGGGGGTGTTTGCTTAATAAACGGCAAAGATCGGTTTTTCTTTTGCTTCCTGATGATAAAATAGACTCGAGACCATACCACAGCTTTCTGTGAGGTTATGGCAGGTTTGGATTTGTGACGTCAGACAGCACCAGAACTCCGGAAAGAAACTTTCTTCTGCCCTTCTTCCCTCTGCCTTGAAAACACAAACGTGCAGCAGAAACTTTACATTTTAATCACTAAACTGGCGGAGACTGCAGGAGGGGTTTCAGTTACCTGCACAAACCTCGGATCATTCCTCTGGCGGGGTTTAAACAGCAAAAGAAACTTTAGAACGCCAGGCTTATTCTTCACAGACATGTAATATGTTTTCTCTATATCTGTACAGTTGTGGAGTTTGTGGTTTGTTTTTTTTTTCTCCCCTTTCTTAGTCATTTGTTGTAATTCTGTTTACTGCCAAGGTTGTTAGTGCAAGACAACCCTGTGTTTAAAGTTTAGAAGAGACATTTGGGTTGTTTTTTGAAGCAGCTATCAAATGTGATCAACCCCAGGTTAGGAGGGGATGTGTGTTTTGAGCTTCTGGGCTCAGAACATCTCTTATTTGCCTTATTTTTTATTTTTATCTGTTTCTTAGTTATTGACATCAAAAATTTTGCCTCCTTTTATGACGCTTTTATGGCTTGCATACACAAAGGCAAGACTGTGTCAGTCCCTTTAATGTGGGAGTTGCCAGAGTTTGGGGGATGAATCCAGCGTGGAAGATGGGAGTCACAGGACACATTGTCTCCATGTGGTTGTGTAGATGGGACTGCTGGAGGCGTTAGTGCTGCCCCATGGAAGCTTTGACCACCTTTCTCCACTAAAAAAATGTTTAAAAGATGCGTTATTTTTCAGAGCAGTTTCAATAACCTGCTGTAGCTCTGCATTCGCACATTTTCCTTTCTCCTTAAAGCGACTGCTGGATGGAGTCACTGCATGGATTTAACATGGTCTTGCTTTAAAGTAGTCCTCCTTCAACTTGTTTCTGTGTTAATCTGTGTATCAGCTCTTCAGGATTTGGGGGTTTGGGGAGGGAGGGGAACTACCAGCTGTTCTGAATCAAGGAATTGCGGAAAAGCAACACAATTTTTGCTTTTGTTTTTTTGAGTTTTTTTTTTTTTCCCCTTGGAGAGATATGCAGCCTGTCCTAACCAATAAACCCTTTATATTTGAAGCTAATTAGAAAAAAATAGTTCGGGGTAAGTCTAAGCTGTTCAATTATCTCCAAAAAAAGAAAAAAAAAAAAAAAAAAAAAACCAACGGGTGACGTTGTTCTACGGGAACCAGACCATCTGTATGTTGAAAACTGACTTAATTTTTATGGTGGGCTCTCTCTCCTGTTGAATGCCGAAATAAACTGAATTTATGTAATCGAGTTAAAAAAGGTGGAAGGTTCTTGTTGGTTCTTGGCGGGGGGGGGGGAGGGGAAAGGTGTCGGGGGTGCCCGTCACGGCTGCCTCAGCCCTCCCGCCTCCCTTCCCCGCTTCCCCTCGGCCCTCCCGTCTCCCTTCCCCGCTTCCCCTCAGCCCTCCCGTCTCCCTTCTCCGCTTCCCTCAGCCCTCCCGTCTCCCTTCCCTTCTTCCCCTCAGCCCTCCCGTCTCCCTTCCCCGCTTCCCCTCGGCCCCCCCCCCCCCCCCCCCCCCCCCCCCCCCCCCCCCCCCCCCCCCCCC